GTTTGGTCATGGCTGCACCCCCTGGCCAATGGCGGCGCAGCGAGCCCCACGTCGGTTAGCCCAGGTTGGTCGCTGCAAGGAAAAGTGCAAGTTGCATCGAGTCGGTCCGGGGGCGGGGCGGGGCGGAGGGGCGCGAGTGCGGGCAGGGCCCCGGCCCGGGGGAGGGTTGCAGCCGTGTTGGTCCGGGGGCCCAGGCACGCGAGGTTCTTTGGGCTGCAGATGTGATGGCTTTTACCAAACTGACAAGAGCTGGAGAAATTGTTCTTTGCAAACTTTGGGGCGCCGACACCCTTCTTCAGGCACAGGCAGAGTCTGCTGTTTCTTTGCCCACTCCCCTGGGTGAAAAGGAAGCCAGTATGCAAAACGCAGGTCGGGGGTGATCAGACGTCAGGTTCTGATATATTTCGTCCGTGAGAAAGGGTGTCTGTACCCGAAACTTTGCAAAGAACGCTTTTGCCAACTGTTTAGGTGGTCTAATAAAAGATGTTACCCAAAGAAATTGTCTGAGCAGAGCCCAGGCGTCTGGGCTCCCCTCCCACAGCTCCATGTGGGGGTGACAGCAGTGCTGTGCTGTGCTTCCTTTACTCAGTTTCTTTTTCTGCACAGCCGGCTCTCCAGCTCACATCCATTCTGCGAGTTACTTCATCTTCTCTCGCCCCAGCGGGGCCAGGCGGGGCCTTTACTGTTGCAGGGTTGGGGGCAGCGCCGCGGGGACCATCAGTGCCACCCACGGGGGCCCTGCCCTGGGCCCGGGGCTGCTGCTCGAGGGGATCGAGCTACAGGAGAAGGGGCTGGGACCTGGGCTGGGGCAGGACGTGCTCCACGGCCACTGCCTGGCTCGAGGGGATCGAGCTACAGGAGAAGGGGCCGGGACCTGGGCTGGGGCAGGACGTGATCCACGGCCACTGCCTATTTACTAGCCCTGGCCCAGCTCAAGGCCAGCGTTAGCCCCTGCCACCACACCCTGCCCTGCGCCTTGGCCCCACCACCACCACCATCACCATCAGCCTCATGCTCCATACGCCTTGGCCCCACCACCACCA